CACTGAATTAACCAGGAACTGTACTCTCGTTCTCCGTTCGACATCCGTCCGAAACAAGTACTGTGAAATAGGTAATACCCGACCAAATTATAAGATGCATGAGGCGAAAGAAGCTTCATACTTGACAAAGCTTTTTAATTTTATCGAGTATTATTTGACAGTAATTATTTCGGACCATCGAGTACATAACCAGAAATGGAGACGAATTAAGGGCCATCCATCCCTGGCAACTCATCAGGCAAATGGGCCTTATATCACTTTTAAATATCAACTCTCGTTTGCACTGAAGTCACAAATTAGAAAACCGAAATAGTACAGCGCCAATAACTGACCTGTGTGTACGTCTCCGTATATTTCGAAAATAATCTGTATTTATTGTAATAAAGGTAATAATGTCTCTAACAATGGGGGCTGTTCCATTCGGTGGTTTGGGAAAAACAGAAAAACATCTAATTATAAATCAAACGGTATCTTCATCGGTAATTAAATATTAGTTATGTAATTTTGCATTTTTCGCCCATTACAGCAAAGCTCAAGTTAAACTGGTCGATTTGAAGTGAAACAATTGACGACACCCGTTAATTGTTTTGAATTCGGGCTGGCCAATCGGAGAACAGTTGTCACAGTAATGATTTGGCAGAATAGTTCTTCCGAATATTCTCCCAATATTTTTCGTATAATTTTATTTGTTTTTCCATCCTCCATGATAATTTTCCGCATTTGACGTTACGTACGTAAAATGTTTCAAAAAGAAAGAAAATAACATGAGCCTTCAAATTATATTTTTGTAATGTCTTAAAAAAAATTATAACCGTAAATTTGCATAATAACCGCTTAAGTATTTTAATAAACGACAATTTATCTCACCACAGCACTGAGTCCTTATAGTCTTTCAACCCTGACGTTGGCGAAATCGTCGCGCAATACGACGGAGCCATAGATACAAAAGTTGAAGTTGAGTTGATAGTTTTCAAATAAATTAAATGACATGTCGTCTCTATATCTGCTTGTATCTACACTCGATGTTTCGGACGAATGAACTTTTCGATGTGTTTGTGGATCGTAGTGGTTTTAACGACTTTTTTTGCCGCAGCGCTATCTATGAGAAATCCATTTCTTCACTCAGCCAAGCTTTTATGCCAATAGTAATAGAGACGAACAATTCTACTAGTCACCGACCGAGGCAATTAAACGATTTCAGATCCTTATTACTTTACTTTCAGAGAACAACACAAACAACGAAATTGTAGAATTGCGTAGACTTCTATCTGTGATCATCGAGAACTCCACCGCCGTGCCTTTTAAATGGCATTGCAATCATTACAGATGTTTCTACTGCCTCGTCAGCTTTCAGGTAAATAATAAACGCACCAAAATCTATTGGAATAGATCCATTATTATTATTATTAGTAGCAGTAGAGCTCCATGTGAAAGAGTTCGTCCAGGGAAGTACTGCCACCTTGCCTATTTCTGCCGCCAAGCAATAATGTGAGCATAACTGCGTTCCGGTTTCGAAGGGTAAGGGTGCTGGTGAAATTACAGGCACATGGGACTTGTCAACTTATGTCTCAGGGTGACGGGCGCAGTGGCAGCGCCCCTCAGATCTTTGCGATTTAAAACTCTGTGTGACACTGCAACTGTTATGGACAGGCGTGTAGCTTACTACTAGGCGCACGACTTATTCGTTCCGTCCCTTGATATTATAAAAATGAATGCTTTTTTGTAATAACAAGTGACGACACGAACAAGTCGTGCGACTGGTGTTGAGCGACATGCCTGTCCATAACAGTTGCAATGCCACTTAGAGCTTTAAGTCGCAAAGACCTGAGGGTCACTGCCACTGCGCCCAACAACAACAACTGGGACATAAGTTGACAAGTCCCATGTGCCTGTAATTTCACCTTACCATTCCAAACCGGAACACAGTAAGTAATGCTCACATTATTGCTTGGCGACAGAAATAGTAAGGTGGCACTACGTCTCTGGATGACCCCTTTCGCAAAGAGATCCATTGCTACTAAAATTGGTAGTAACGTTTTATTTATTGTTGGACGACAGTCGCGTTTAGATCGTTCCCATATCACGACTATCTGTCGTGACTGTGTCGTGGACGTTTATTTTATCGTATCACGGCAGCCGCCTTGTCGTTTACACGACAGAATCGTTTGATTATCTGTCGTCACATTTTTGTCGTGATGTTTCATTTATCGACGAACGACTGTCGTTCTAGCTCTTCCCATTGTCACGACAGTCTGTCGTCGTAACGTCAAAAAAGTCGTGAACGACAGTTAATCGTATTGTACTACACGTGAACAACTTCATTTAAATATACAAGCCACGACACTTTAAACTGAACGACTATCTGTCGTCACGACATAATGGGAACGCGCCCTTAGAGAGACAGAGATTCTTATAGGCCTTAGATTCATAATTATTACACTTCTTAATTATAATATTTTTAATTCTTTTAGGATAGCAGCGAGTTAAAAGGACACATGAGAACTGAACACGAACAAGTAAAACTGAAGAACGTTCTAAAGTTTATTAATACAGACAGTCTAATCAAGCTGGATATTTCGGAATTCACATGCAGAATATGTCTAAAAAAAATAACACATTTGGACGAATTTCTGACACATGCTTTTGAAATTCACAAATTTAAATTTAAAAAGGAGTTACAGGATCGTATTTTTACATACAAATTGTCGGATAATGATATGGAATGCCTTCTATGTGGAGAAAACTTCCGTTTTTTTGGTCCACTAATGATGCACACACATAAAAAGCATAAAGTGTTAAATCCTTTTTTATGTGAAATATGCGGTCAGGGTTTTGTTACTAAAGGCAATTTGGACACTCATTTAAAATGGCGTCATTCTCAATCACACACTTGTTCAAAATGCAAGGAAGATTTTCATACGTTATCTAAGTTAAAATCACATTTAAAGAAAATACATTCTGCCCACTTCAAATGTCCGAGATGCCCCTTAGAATTTCAGAGTAGATATTTAAAAAAACGACACTTAATTGACCAACACGATGTCAAATCTTTACAGTTCAAATGTGACGACTGTTCGAAAATATTTCCACAGAAAAGTCTACTGTTGAATCACAAATTGAAAGTACATTTGAATCAAAAAACCGTTATGTGCAGCATTTGTGGATTTAAATGTTTCGACACATTCGCCTTACGGCGCCATCTAGTGGTGCATTCCGAAGAGAGACCGCACGAGTGTCGATATTGTAAAAAATCTTTTCGACGGCGAAAAACTTTGATTGTCCATGAAAGAATTCATACGAATGATAGAAGGTTTGTGTGTAACGAGTGCGATAAGGCATTTTTGCAGGGCACTAGTCTCAAATGGCATGTCAGAAACCATCATTCAAATGTTATGTAGTTTATAAATTCATAAACTATTAGATAGCACTAACAGCATTGCAAGATACGTACCAGTGAGTCTATACAGAACCTTACTGTACTGTAGTTGTGTAGTTAAAAGTTTTTATTTGCCGCCATTTCGCCATTCATAACATGCGGTTCCTGAACACATCATAGAAGCTCTTTGTAATAATACGTGTATAAATAAAGCAGTGTATGTAACTGTACATAATTAGGCATTAAAACACTCGCTCTTGTTTTCATACGTTTCATTACGTAACAGTTACATGAACTACTATTCTCACGCATGTTCTAGGATGGAAAAAATCCATAGTCTAAGCGCATGTCACACAACTGTAGTTTTTATTTAATTCATAGACAAACTAGAGTCGGCCCCAACTATCATATCGTTCGATATCAAGTAACGTGTGAAATTTGTCAAAACTGTTTGCTATTGAGCTATTGGCATTTCATCTCGAATAAAACTTCATCTCGACTGATATTAGAATTGAGGTCGAATCAAATTGTTTTGTTTTTCTTCTAATTCTGATGATTCTTTTTTTGTTGAAAAGAGGGTAGGTACCCTCTTCAACAAAATCATGCTCCTCCAAGGGTGGCTGTTCACGCATGAAGTTTCATTTTTATTAATAACGCCTACATTTTATTATAAAGAGCAATTATTTTAATGGTTGATTTTGCTATTCTCCAATTCAAGGCGTTTTTCTCTCTCAATATACTTTGAGTAGTGAGAACCGATTTTTATTACCTCCTGTGTCCAGTCCCGTATAGTGGCGAATTAGGGGATGAATCCGTTTGCGCACTTTCCGGTAACCGATTTCAAAAAAAAACTTGGCAAATAGATGTAATTCCACGTACTTTTGAGGTCGGTTTTTTTAGTACTTTGTACTGAGATTATTGTGTAGGTAAATGACGTGATTACTCCGACATCACCCCTCACGGAAGAATGGCATAAGTGGAGTTACGTCAATGTTACGGACGGCCGTACGCGCCTGGCCGGTCAGAGCAAGAATGAGTAATTCAAGAGCTGCTCGGCCGAACGGCGTCCGCGGCGAATTGATAGGGCCGGTACGGTGTGGGAGACACAATCGTTCTCATTGTCTCATTCGTAATTAATTTGTGATTATGTTCAGTCGCATTCGATATTCTTCTCCAATAAGTCAGATAGAGATAGAAGAAAAGCAGGATATCGAAGACAGTCCACAGGGTCTTGACAGTCAATAAATCTGTACCCTCCACGAAAAACGCGGTAACTCTACTTGTATCGTTTTTTTAAAGATTCGTCATTTGTGTAAAATAATGCATCTTTCTATCAAATCACCAATACTCTATCTGCTCTAGAACCGAAGATAAATGTATATTACTCCTTTAGATACAGAAAAATATAATCCTCTACAATTCTTATAACTCTATCGATTAATATTGTCGATAGACGGGCGTTCCGTCATAAAAAATAAAAAAACGCCCATTTTTGTGGTTTTTTTAATAATAATAATATGCCAGACAACCAAACTGCTGAATTCCATGTACAGGGTCAAGAGCATGTCAAGCTTGACACTTACGACACGTTTAAATCCAACTCTATGCAGGTTACGGTAAGAACGGTCCAAATTACAAAGTGTCAAGTTTGACGTGCTCTTGACTATATATACCATGACTAGCTGAACAACAGAATTAACTCTGGCGCACATGCCAGAACACAGATCAGAACCAATTAAGAAAATTTAATTTCCCAAAATGATCCTACCGGGAATCGAAACCGGGACCTTCGCGTTCAGCGCCCACAGTGTAAATGAGGTCATTATAAATTTTAATATCACTGGACACCGATGTTGCTGTTAGACTTTTAATGCGTCTAGAACAGATTTAGGCACCACGTTGCTGGTCATCTCTCCTACTACGAAGTTTGTTTTCTGTCTACCAGGGCGTTGCGCTGGTATCACTACGCCATGTTGCCGTAGAAGGTGTTTTTTCCAATAACAGCGTCGGGTGAAGCAGGAATGGCACACTTCACACTCATATCTGAAAAGTATGTCACATTATTGTTTTTTGAATATAAAAATGTTTAACTACCATGATATTCAATTGTTTTTGTGAAATTACGTCACTATACTTCCAGGCCCTTTCTTCTCTAAAGTACTTTTACACGTTTTTCAAAATATCGATACTTTTACGCCTTTTATTCCTTAAAGTATCGATACTTTTAAGCCTTTTCTTCCTCAAAGTATCGATACTTTACGCCTTGTCTTCCCGGAAGCATCGATATTTAAGTTATTAATAAGATAAAGACGCGAAACTGAGTTCGTTAGATCAATGTAATAAAGGTTCATAGACTACTCATTGATTTTAGACGGCATGCAATTGTGTCATGAATAAATTTGTGAGTTGTACCATCCATGGAACAGGTTAATATTACAAGTAGCCCATGACATGACATTTTAGTATTTCAGGAGACCAGGGAAAGAACGATCAAAGTCAAGCGTTTTGAGTTAATACTGCCAGCTAATTTCTTAAACGCTGAGTGTAATTGGCCTAAATCAGTAAAAGGATAATAAGGTTCAATATCTGAAAATGAAAAATTAACTTTTAATTTTACGCATAAAATGATTGAGACTAAATAATAGAAAAGTTTAATAAGATTTATAAAGGTTTTTTTAGGTAAAATTAATGTTGACATATTATGTGTAACCGTATGTAATCCATACGGTTACACACATTATGTCAACATTGACTAAAATCAATACATGAAATAAATTTCAGGTAGCATTTTTGTATGTCTTTCCCACCAACATTGAACAGTTTTCCAAAGTTCCTAAAGTTCTCCTCAAGTGACTATGATCATTCCATCCCTGGACTCTTCATTTGTCCTCTTTTTTACTAATTAACGAAAGTTTAATCTGCGCTTGCGCAAATCCACAACAATTACCTTTTAATTTCATTATGTGAATCGACATGTCTATTCAGTTTGGTTTTGTCGAAGAACCCTCTGTCACACTGTGAACAGTGGTATCTGATTTCTTTGGAGTGTGATCTCTTTCTGTGGCTCATCAAATTCGATGAAGTACGGAATGAAGCTGAACATATTTCACATTGGAAGAGTTTTATGCCTGAAAAAGATTTGTTTTTATAAGTTAGTAACAATAGAGTGTAATGAAAAGGCAGATGTGCTACTAGCATCCGCGTTATGAAGATTCGGTAACCAGACATCTATACGATGTTATAATCCACAGAAGAAAAAAACAATGAAGTGCCTTCAGCCTCGATATACAATGAGAATCGATGTCACCAAAACTCACATATTCTTAATTTGAAACACTACAAAATGTTGATTTATTTATTTATTTCATAAAATTACACAGTGTAACAGTAAATTACTAAGGCACTGTGAAATTCATACAACATAAAATTATTTTTAAATCGTAGATGATAGTCGTTTATCCATCATCTCACAAAACTTCAAACATTCATCACGCACAGTCACCCATCTACTTGCGAACACATCACATTCTGGTGCAGATACAAGAAGCGCATTAAAACAGTGCAGAGCGCGAACTAGTGGCGATTTACTGTGTGCCACAGGCGCAATGCCGGCTCTGCCAGAAGATGGTGACCACGTGGACGCAGATTAAATTTATTTAGCGGGGGGACAAACAAGCGCACCAGTTGCGCCACTAATTCAGGGCAATCAGAATCTCCGCGCAGGATCCTACCAGTAATAGCCATTAGACTATAATTACGTCTTACTACCAAAGAATTAAAACCCAAGACGCCAAGAAGGAATTTCGTAGGATATAAAAATGGATAGTATCCATACATTGAACTTATATAAATATCTTAAAAATGTCTTTTGAATTTTCTTGATATTGATTGGTCGTAGTTCTAAATTGATAAAGAAGTAACAAGTTCAGGATTGTTAATATAATTTAAACTTTACCCTGTTGGTATCACAGTTGGCATATCGTTGAAAGTTCAATATTGCAAATTAGTTTTCATATTACATTGAAATTTCAATCAATGTATTGCCATCTAGCGACTAATTGCTGAACGACGACGAATACGAGTTATTAATTTAGTTCTTCAAAAAAGAAGCGACCGTATTGCAGGGGTATAAGCTTTATATTCTTCTCTTGTAATAAAAAAAATTTCAGTAAACAGAAAATTGAAAATTTATTAAAATACGACTTTCAGATTATATGAAATACCGCCACGGGCAATATTTTTGGTGCGGCTATAATTTTTGCATAAGGCAATTTTTCTAGAACTTGCACGAAAGAATGACAGCGAAAATGGCGAATTGAGCTCACATAGGTTTTTCGAGACCTATAGTTGGCTCGCGTCCGATGCTAACTAATCACTTCTACTGTATTTATTGTTGTGTTACAATCAGTCTACATCGGGCAAAGAGACGAATCAGACATTTGCAAAATTCAGCCAATTATAAAAGGTATTTTTGGGAAAACATTGGGAGGCATTCTCTGACCACTTTACGCGTTTTTCTATGCCCAAAAATAGAAGAATAAAACTGTTATTGATAGGAAATCGCTGCTGAAATTATAAAGAATTATCAAAAATGTGCCACCTAATCGAAATTGCTTATGACCAAAGGATGGGCGCCATACTGCCAAGAAATAAGAAAAAAAAAATTGAAAAGCGGCTTGCTAGTAATTATTTATTATTCATTCGCTACCCAGAACGAGTTATTCCCGACTGTCGCCAATTCGCAGCTGCACAGGAGTTAAAGGTGGGTGTCACTAACATTTTTCCAAAATTACTTGGTTTGACTGTTTGGTTTTATGGATTTGGAAAGATTAAGGAATAAAGTCCTCTGCCTCCTTTTAACAACTAAGCCCCTTCACATTTCAAGAAACATGCCGTCGTGTTTATTTACAAAAACTAATTACCACGTTAAAGTAAATAAAGCACGAGAAATCACATACCACGCGTAAGTTAGCAAAAGGAATTTATTTATTTATAGCGAAAGTAATTACATTATTACCATTGACCTACTAACAAATGGACGTCGATTTCGAAGTGTCCGCACCCATAGGGCGTTAAAATCGCATACAGAGCGACAATCGCGCAACAGTCTTCGTTTGTTCAACTGACAGCGCGGTTGTCAATCATGCAGTACCATATAATAATAACTTGTAAAAGTTACTGCAGTGAAGTGTAAAAACAGGATTTTATATCATATTTTCGCTAAACAAATATATTGTGTTATCATAGTTATCATTTAAAGGTGTTATTTTCACATTCCGATGAATTGTATCCATTTCTTTTAATTTTGATTTTATAATATTCATAAATGGTTTATTACGAGAATTTAGTGTGATTAAGTATGTTCATCGATAAATCAAATAGAAAAGGAAATCTGGCTACGAATACGGGGCTCTTTTAAATTTGATAAATTATAAATTTATTTGCAATAGGTCAGATATGTGATATATGTAATGTAATATATATATTTAATACATAATTATTTAAAATACACCTATTTTTACACATTTTTGTTTTAATATTTAATAAGTCAAATTTTTTTCCCAGAAATTGAAGTGACTCGGTGAAATTCGGCAATTAATTGCGTATTAAAAAAAAAAACCTTGAAGACGTAACTGTTTTCAGGGGGCCTAATATGAACTCTTATTTCCACGCAGTTCTCGCCGTAAAGTAAACTACCTTGTAATTTCGTATTATGAACTGGTAATACCAGCCACTCAGGGGTCACGTAACACTAGGCTGTCTTCTGCCCGAAGTTTTGCTGGCAATATCGTATTACACACATTATTTTGCCACTTTCTTTACGTTTGATCTGTCAAAAAGTAACAGCAATAAACCATTCAGTTCACAGTGTCTTGTTGTAGCTTTTATTGAATTGTTTTGTGCATACTTGTATAATAATTATTATAATTTTGAGTTTATATATTTTTAGGCAATCGTGTCATCATGTGCGATGAATACGAAATGTTTGCGTATCTCGAAAGTGATACTTCACACGATAATAATATGGAAAAAATCCAAAGAAGACAACTGCGACATCGTAGTGATCCGTTTGAAATGGATGCACAACAATTTACGAAAAGATACCGGCTTA